AAAATACCGGGGTGGAACAAAAATAGTAAAAACCTCCAATATCCACTGATTCGGTATCTGCGGTATGTTGTCCATGGTTTTACCATCACCCGAAATTGATCTTTAATTTCACTTACCCCAAAGTGCAAAATTAGTGATGCTGGTAGTTCTTCGAAGTTAAGAGAGCTGTGTAATGCTTTCCTTCAATGAGAAAGTGTACTATTTCTAGACATATTTTTCATAATTTTTCAATTAACCTTTATGCATGTAAATGAAAGATGGTTTATATATATATAAGGTTCGCTAGTATCCACGGTTTCAGGTATCACGGTACTTCTTGGAAGGTATCCCTCGCGGATACGGGGGTTGTACTGTATAAATAACTGTACATAGTGGAGGAAACTTATGAACGACGTTTCGGTCAGTCTTGGACCATTGTCAAGTCACAACTACACGAGGAAAAGGGCAGGAAGGCCTGAAGACAGTAGTAGTAGCAGTCCCGGTAGTTGTAGTAGTGAAAGAAGTAGTATTAGTAGTAGTAGCAGAGGAAATATAGTAGTAGCAGTAATAGTAGAGGAAGTAGTAATAGTAGTTGAGGTGGTAGCAGTAGTAGTGGAAGAGGTGGTAGTAGTAGTAGCAGTAGTAGCAGAGGTCGAAGTAATAGTAGGAGTAGTAGCAAGGTGATAGTAGTAGTAGCAGAGATAGTAGTAGTAGTAGTAGTAGTAGTAGTAGTGTTAGTAGTAGTAGGTAGTAGTTGTAGTAGGAGTAGAAGCAGTAGGATTAGAAGAAGTAGTAGCAGTAGTAGTAGAGGTTGTAGTAGTAGTACTAGCAAAGGTGGTAGTAGTAGTAGGAGTAAAAGTAGTAGCAGCAGAAGTAGTAGAGGAGCAGTAGTAGTAGTATCAGTAGTAGTAGCAGTAGTAATAGTAGTAGTAGTAGTGGTAGTAGTGTTGGTAGAAGTAGAAGTAGTAGAATTTAGGTAGGAGTAGTAATAATAGTTATAGTACTGCTAGGAATAAAAGTAATAGTAGAAAGCGTAGTGGTAGTAGTAAGAGAATTGCTAGTAGTAAGTAGTGGTAGTACATGAGACCAGAGGAGCACTGCAGGAGTCCTACTGGCTCACTGGCGTATGGCAAAAAACCCGCGTGAATATAACGGGTTTTACGTGAAATACATGTGATGTTTCTCAGTGAGTGATTGTGAGGAATGAAAGCCTCAGTACCGAGGCTGGAACTCTCCTTTCGCACTGTTAATTTCTTGTGGTTCAGGACCGAGCGAAACGTCGTCAAAAGTTCGGGTTACATGTGACCAAATATGATTTGAAATTAAATGTATTTCTTTTATTTCTCTCTAGGGAGTGAGCTTCACCAACACTCATCCCGTGGTTGTTCCTACACGCGGCAAGCAGGTACCTTAACAATGTTGGTAGTATGTACCATCAAAAGAGTCAGTTTTAGCTTAATATATCCACACAAAACCCCAAACCCCACACACACCAACACAAAACACACACCACACCACACACACACACACAACACAACACACACACACACACACACACAACACACACACACACACACACACACACACACACACACAAAACACACACACCCCACACACACACACACACACACACACACACACACACACACACACAACACACACACACACAAAACACACACCCCACACACCACACACAAACACACACACACACACACCCCCAAACACACACAACACACACACACACACACACACACCACACACACACACACACACCCCAAAAACACACACACACAAACAAAACACACACACACACACACACACACCCACACACAACACACACACACACACAACACACACACACACACACACACACATACACACACACACACACACCCCATAAAACACACACCACAACACACACACACACACACACACACACACACACACACACACACACACACACACACACACACATACACACCCACACACACCCCACACACACACACACACACACACACACCACACACACACACACACACACACACACACATACACCACACCACCACACACACCCCACACACCACACACATACACACACACACACCCCACACACACACACACACACACACACACACACACACACACACACACACACACACACACACACACACACACACACATACACACACACACACATACTATATGCTATATGCAGAGATTCTAACAGCCAACTGCAGTAGCAAGGGACAGCTGGTCAAGAAAGACAGTTCACTGAGAATAGAAGTTTCAGATATGACAGGGACTGAAGGCAAGAACATGTCAATGGAAAGAAATAAAATGCCTCAGAGGAAGCAGATGGAGACTCAGTGGGAGGAGGAAAGGGCGAGGTCAGTTTTTGTGTACGGGCTCCAAGAAGCCAAGGGGGCCAACTTTGAAGAAATAAAACAGGAGGAGAAAAAAAAGATTGAAGGCATCATGAAAACAATAGGGGAGGGCAATATGACCCAGGTGACAAATTTTCAAAAGAAATTTGGGTGGTTTGCGAGTGGAAGGATAAGCCTGTCAGAGTAACTTTCAAGGAAGAATCAGTTCGAATCAGGATTCTGCAAGAGAAAGCAAGACTGAGGGACAAATAGGGGTACCAGAGAGTATCCTCGACCGCGACAGAACACAAGAAGAAAGGACTACACTGAAAGAGAGGGTACAGAGACGCAAGGAGGAACGAGAAAGCAATGAAAATGAGCAGGACCCAGACACAGGAGGAAGGGCAAAACACACCCCACAGAATCTCCCACAAAAGACTCACCCACGACACCCCCCAACGCAACTGAGCAACCTATACTACAACCCACTCACTGTTCCCTCTGCCACAACCCCCATATCAAACCCTCCCCCCAAAACAGCTGTCCCTTAGGGGCATTCTGACCCCACCCCCATCAACACAAACCCCACTTACACCACAGCCCCATTAGGCCCCCACAAAGGCCTCGCTCCCCTAACCCCAATATACTTGCATGACCACAATGTAGAAAAGAAACTAAAGGTTTGGTACGAAAAACGCGGATGGAATAACGAATAAACATGAGGAGTGGAATGAAAAGAATCAGTGAAGAATCCCCAGACATCATAGCAGTCAAAAGAAACAAAACTCGCTGAGACAA